TCAACAGGAGGGTGCCTTTTTCTGTAAGTTTCGTTAACTGGTTACTTATATCAGTCATGTTTGAAAACTTCACCAGATAGTTGCATTTTTATGGATTTTTACTGTATATGCATTATGTATATGTATGATGATGCAGTTTTGGTCTTAGTATTTATCTTTTCTTCAAGAGAAGTGAACCTAGAATCTTAATTTTGCTGCAGATATGTATATGTTTATCTCCTAATAATGAATTGATTTAAGGTTTTCAGTGGTAATAGATGGAGTCACAGGGAATTTGATCTAGTTTATCTCTTGATAATGAATTAATTCAGAATGCATTTGATTAAAATGGCGTCCCTTTGGGAGAAGTAGCTTAATTAGCAATTCGATTTTCTTCCCTCAGTCCATTCATTAACGAAAATAGTGAATCCCATACACATTCTTACAAGAGAAGTCAACTACAAGAGAAGTCAACACAATAATTTTTCAAAATTTTGAGTCCTGTCAATGTTCTGAGATTTGAGACTCGTAACTTTGCAAATGTTCTTCTTTTGGAAAGTAACGCTACACATGTTGCTGGAGGAGGAACATACAAATACGATAAGCAGTACTGTCAATAGGCTTTTCTCTTTTGAAAAAAAATAAAATAAAATCACTAGAATTGCAAAACAAAGAAAATGGTTAAATTAACAAGACAAGAAAATTGAAAACAGGTTGTATGATTGATTAATTTAGTGATAGTTGTCCATGTAGAAATCATACAAAGATATGCAGAATGAAATCGAAAATGCATTGAAGCTAGGCCACATTTCGGAAGAAGATCAAAGCATAAAGAACCATGAAACATGTTTCAGTTAATAATGATCTCACACATAGAGCTGGTGTGGCTGCTGCATTCTTCAGAGTCTGAAACAATATCATCAATAGACAAAGGCAATCCACTTGAAAAACTAAGACTTGGTTTCACCCTTGGCATGCCTAGATAGGGATGGCAAAAACCCCTGCCAGGTAAGATATGATGTTTCGCACCACATATCCTAGATTAACTTGTCATGAGTAACAATCTTAATGGTAAAAGATTAAATGTAAAGAACAAAAGGTACCAATTGAATCGACCTAAGCAAAAGAGAAGTGAATCCACTCTCAGACTAAGAGCAGGACTCATCTTGAAGAAATTGGTTCGTAACTGGTGTTGGTAGTCATTTGAGTTTCCCTCATTACTATTTCTCAACAGCCAACCCGTCATGCCATTCGGTGAACATGTTCTTCAACCATTCAGTGAAGAGAGTGTCAGCCATATTCACCACTGGCATGTGCACAGGTTCTTTACAATTTAGAGAATAATTCATGTCATATGCCAAACTCAAACCTCTCCATAGTGTCTCTGAATAAATAAGATGTTCCTGAGATTTCACAAACTGAAAGCATCTTAAAAAGGACTAGATGATATGCGACCGACGCTTATTACAAATTCTTAATCATTACTTCATAAAACAATACAACTACCTTGTGAATGCAGATATTAAATCCAACTGGTATTTAGCATAGAAGTCAATCGATGTAGGTTAGCAAAGGAGCTCATAAGCGGGCCTGGGAAGTTCTTGACGTGGACAAACATAGAAACTGCGCCTGCCAGAGTAATAAAGACTAAATAAAAGATGGGGCAGATTCGTTAGACAAAATCATTCTATCTCAGATGAATGTGCTTTTGCATCTTCTTTCTTCAAACTACGACAAAACATAGATTAATATCCACAATTAAAGGTTGAGATACAACAAACACATGAATAAAGATAAACCAGGAAACCATATCATTCCAAGCAAAAAGAAGTAAAAAAAAGAGGGTAATTTAAATGTACCTGCATGCATTTTCAGACTACTATAAAAATTGAGCTTTTCACTCCAAACACCAAAGAAAAACACTCAAATCAAAATTATCCCCTCTCCGAGCAATTTCTTAGCATAGCAAACTAACACGTACGTGTAAGTGAAACCATAAGTGCTGATGCTTATTTCGGCTTACGACTTCCCAGAAACCATAAGTGCTGTTGCAAATTATATTCTACTGATGCTGCTTATGGTGATAGAAATTAGTTTTGATTGAATTGGTGCTGTTTTTTTTTCTTAACTTGAGTATTTTCGCATGTTGCACATCTTAGTTTCTTAGAATATCAACAAGACATAATCATCCGTTTCAATTTGTGTTGCATCACAACAGCAAAAATTAGTATCAATTGCTTACTCATATTCAAAGCACATACAATAGGATATCAAAAGTAGAATAGAACAAAAATAAAATTTAGAAAATTAAAGTGCTCGAGGACTGCTAGCTACAAGCCTAATTACAAAAATAAACCAAATTTATACACCTAATTATCCTACCAGTCAAGTTCTCCATATATATGCACAGCACAGATATAGCTTCACCATCACCAAATAAATCTTAAGCTTCATTTCTGCATCTCTTCCACTTTTACGACTACCACCAAACTCCTCGTCACATAATTAATCCACAACGCTCCCCCCTCACCATGCCTTTGAGCTTTTTTTGAAAATGGTGAGGGCTTTGTGCAATGCTCCACTAGGATCTGACTTTTCTAATCCTAGTTCAAACCTTAATTATCAATTTAAAAATAAAAAATAAAAAAATAGATTCCTCTTTTAGAAATACAAAATCAAACTAAAAAACAAAAGGGAATGGATTATTACACCGAAATATTTCTCTTGAATTTTCAGATAATTAACACATATAAAGAAATGAATTTAAAAAAATAAGAAAAGAGAAGACGTTTAAGAACTGAAAGAGCAAGTCTAGATGTTTAAAGACATGACTAGTCAAACAAAGTAGGGCAAATATTCAGGTATGCTCATATATGCTCAAATCTTTATCCTTCTTCAATATTGAGGTATTTATAAAGAAGTACAACTCTAAATAAAATAGGAAATAAATCTAAGGATTTAAAATAGAAAATAAATTATAATTATAATAGGAAAAAAAATTTTCAATTATAATAGGACTAGATAAATGGGTAAGTAACCAAAATCCTAACATAGTAAGGAATCAAAATCCTAATTAAGTAAGGACTTGCCAACACTCCCTTTCAAGTTAGGGCAAAGATATTTCTCATGCACAACTTGACCAGCGAGTCAACTTGACATTGACCAATTGAACAACTGTAGAGAAGGTCTTGTCATAAACCACAAGAACAACTGACAAACCCTAACAAATAGAGCACATATAAGAACACATAAAAGCATAATACAGAAACCCTGTGAGCACGGCAATAGGTAAGGTAGAACACAGAAACCCTATGATCACGTCAGTAGGTAAGGCAGAATACAGAAACCCTTTGAGCACGGCAATAGACAAGGTAGAACACAGAAACCCTCATCATCTTTTTTTCACTTTCCAAATTATGGATCTTTGGAATCTAGGGCATCAGAGTCATGAGTTAGGTAACCCAATTTTCCTCTGAAGTAGCATAGAGTTCGATCATTAAATCCCAAATCGCATAGTTAGATCCATTCAATTTGAATCCAAAGAGTAGGTTGGTGGACGATTTAGTATGAACCATCACAATATGGGGTAGGAGAAGCAGTAGATGAGGGTAGAACTAGAAGCAAGTGAAGAAATAAAGGCATCAACATTCAACATGGTGATGGATGGCCGGTTGGCGACAACATATACAATAGCAAGATATGCGGCGGAGATGGTAGCAAGGTATCGTTGAAAAAAAAATCGTAGAAGACCCTAAAGGGTGTCCCTTAAATAGAAAGGTATGTTGATGAGAATCAAAACCCCACATAGAAGAATTTGCAAAGCCATCGTCTCATAAACTTGTGCAATGCCCTTTGATCCAGTGATTGCTTCTTTTACAAACTCAGCAAAGCAGTACAAATTGAGCAATACAACTGCTGCCAATATGGTAAACATTGGTAGAGGCTCCAAATTCCGTAATCTCTCCTTTCTCTTATCGTTGCGATACGTCTTCATCAGCCACCTTGGCTGTTATAACAAATGCTGAATCAGAGGGAGTATAAAATGGTGTCAATGAAGGCAAACAGGTAGGAGCTTGTTCTCTTGTAAAGCCACATTCGTTGGTCATTCCAGCCTAAGATTGTGCCTCCAAACCACAGAAAAACTCCACAAAGCTCCAAGTGTACTTGCCAATGATAACATATGCAAATGGTATGAACCATGGACTTGAGATCTGAATTCACAAAGAAGAAATATACTATTTGGGAGGCCACACTATAGACCACATCTTTAATAGAGGCGAGACGAGACTCATATAAGAGCATCTCCACTCATAAGGGCTAAGTCTAGGGTAAGGGCAAGTAAGGGCTGCCACTATTCAAGTGAATAGTGTCAGCCTTGCCATTTGTGGTTC